TATCTGCTGCAGGTTTGTACACTTTCTCTTGATTTCATTAATAATGGCTGAGGAGAGCATGGATATCTCGGAGATACCAGAGGTAATTAAGCGTGATGTTATTCATCGTGATGTTCTTCATACTAGAAGGTGTTCTGCTGTCAGAATAGGCATCCCAGATGTTACAGCACAGGCCAGCCATCGTTATCTCAGCCCTCCGATGGGTTCCTGTCATGACTTGTGCAAATTTGGGGAAAGACGTACTTGTGAAACAAAGCCCTGGAATTGCAAGCTGAGGACTGCTGAAATGAAAGTTGGAGGCCAGGATGTAGAGAAGACTGAAATTTTAGCTGAGACAAGGAAAGAATCAGAAGCTTGTTTTAGATCCATGAAAATTACTGGTTCCAAAAGCAAGAAATCTGATGAAGCTAGTTTCAGAAAGAGAGATATGTCAATATCATCCTTGAGCAAGAGGAAGACTGTCTCATCGAAACAAGATTCATTTGGGTATGGTGGCAGTATAAAGCTGAAGAATGTTAAGGGAAAGACTGAAACTTTTGCATGGATAAGAAAAAAAGAAGCTCCTTTTAAACCGATTCCTGGCTCTGAAGGGAAGAATCCTGATGAAAAGACTGTCAAAAAGAGACATGTGTCATCCTTGAGCAAGAGAAAATGTAGCTCTTCAAAACAGGCTCCATCGCACTTGAACTCTGCTCGGTTCAGTTCATATTTTCCTCTCAAAAAGGGCAGTTCAAGCAGTAAAGGGACTTCTTCATCGGATAATCCACCTGGAGTTCCAAGAAGCAGAAGGAAAGGGGAATATAGGAACAGTACATGCTCTTCGGCTCAGAAAACCCTGCAGAGCACAAAAGGATTTTCTTCTCTGAAAAGCCAAAAGAAAGTTCAGAATCCAAATACTAGGCGCATTTATTCAAGCACTACAAAGAATCAAAAGAGTGTTAAAAATCTGAATTCCAGACACATTCATCCAACTACTCAGAAGAATCAGAAGAATGTTCAAAATCCAAATTCCAGACGCATTCATCCAAGCAGCACGGATGTTCCAGAGAAGACTTTATATGTCATTGAATCAAGTTGTGAGAAAGGAACTGTTAGGCCTGTTGAAGATAGCATTCATCCAAGTGACCTCTCTGCATCATCTGAGAACAAAAGCCTGGAAGAAGCTAAGAACAGGCATCATACTGAAAATGGTACTGATGCTAATCAGCTTCCATCTTCAACAGATGATAAAGGCTATGAACTTGGAAAATCCCAAGCTGATGTTACACAATCATCCTTGCTTTCATCCTCTAAAACAGGAAACAAGATCAGGCCAAAAGGAGCTGCACTTAAATTCAATCAAAAGAACACTGCAGCACCTCGTAAGTTGAAGTTCAGGAGGGGAAAGGTGATTGAACTTCAGCCCGAGGATTATACTCTGAAGAGACTTAAATTCAGGCGACGTGTTCTTCTAGACAGGCAAAATGGGAAAGGGAATGGCCAAAATGGAAACCTGGTGTGGTTGAGAGAAAGAGGTTATGAAAAAGCTGCATCTGCTACTGAGATGAAACTGGAGCGTGTATTATTGAGACACAGGAAAGAGGACGCGCAGAAAGAACAGAGGGGTTTGTTCAATTATGTAATTGAAGAGACTGCAAGTAGGCTGGTGAAATCCAGGAAGAGTAAAGTGAGGGCTCTCGTCGGTGCTTTTGAAACTGTGATTTCTCTGCAGGATACCAATCACCATTGAAAACTCTGGTAGGCTATTGAGTTGCCTGAGGATTGCATGATTGTGAACAAGTAGTATATAATGACTTGACTGCAAAAAAATGATGTGAGCAAACGCAGAAACTTTTGTATACATCATCAGTTGGTGTGGGTTGTTTTTGCTCGGTGATTTTTCTAGAGAGAAAATTGAAATTCAGTCTTGTTCTTCTAATTCTGTTACTCATCGATGATGGTTCGGTTTTGTAGATAGCCATAAAGAGAAATGAGCTTCTCTGATGAAACATGGCAGTTAATTTTTTTCTCTTTATCAAGAAGTAGAACAGATCTAATTATGTTTTAGCTTGTGTGCATTTGCATCAATCTTGAAACACAGTTAGTTATAATATGTGTGTATGTACACACAGTTTCAAAAGTCAACTCGAGTTTTGAATTTTAAGGGTGATTAGATACGCTCCCAATTATTTATATACGAGTAATTATAAGGTATTTTAAGATGACAGATATCATAAATGTGATTAGTGCAGTTCTAATTATTTTGTAGTATAAATATAACATAAATCAACAACATCTATCAACTTATTAATATATTATAAAGTACTAATCCCAACAAATCACGTGTAAAATATATTATACAGTAAAAAATCAATTTATTTAGTAGGATATGTAAAAGACAAAAGACAGAAATCCTAAGATTAAGATTAAAGAGATAATTTGGTCGGTCAAACTTTTACAATCATAATTTTTCCAACTCTCTTGTCAATTTTAGTCAAAATTCTTAAAAGTCTTTTTGGAATTTCATGTAATTTCTTTTTAAAATAAGGTTTTTGTGTAAAAAGAAAAAAAAGGGTTTGTGTCAATAATTCATTACACTCATAATTTGTAATTATATTTTTCCAAAATATAAGGATTGTGTTATAATTATCTCCAAATTAATTAACCTAATTAATCATAATAGGCCAAGGAAAAAGCCATGATCCAGGTAATTTACCATATTTTGGATATTGAAAATTCAATTTCCACTTTTTAAAACAAGAATATATATATATATATATATATATATATATATGTAATATACACATACACCACATCATCCATCGAATAAGATGATTATAATATTTTAACCTTATGAGATTAATATACATAGATATTCAAGAGTTAGAATTACAAATAAATTAGGGAAGAATTGAATGGAAAATAGACCGATTGAAATACAAGGTATATATACATATATATACACATGCATACATAAACTTTAGCTTATTAGTCCTAGAGTAAATTAATAACATTAGTGGAGAAACATTAATGCTTTCAAAAATTGGACTTTAAATATTACTTTTAATCTTCAATTATTAGTTATCTGATCCTTGAACACGGCTTGACTGCGCAGGACAACCCGTTCTCTGTGTCGTCTGATTCATTTGTTGCCGATACATTGCTGCCATTTTATTATACATCTCCATATTCATCGACTGCAACATCAATTCACTCATTAAAAAAAACCATGTATATATATATATATATGCGCATATACGTATATTATATATAGAAGTAAATTATGATTAAACATACTTGTTGTGCAAGAAAAGAGGAATAAGGAGCAGCCATTATGGGAACTGATGAGGCATTGTTGTTGGCATCTTGATTAATATTTGGCTGATCAACAGGACGGAGCAACGGAGCGGTCGGCATGGCGAAGGGAGTCGGAGGAAGGAAGGTGGGAGCCGCGCTGGCCACTGCGGCAGCGACATGAGGTGGATGGAGAAGGGAAGGCAAAGCAGCAGCTGGGTGAGGAAAAGGAGTTCCGGCCGTCACCATTGGGTTGATGTCCATGGCGAGACCGACGCCGGCGGCAGCCGCCATGCCCATGCGAGCCAGCATCGACATGTGGAGTTGCTGCTGCATCATCATCTGAGGCATGCTTCTCATGCTCATCATCTGAACTTGTGCTTGTAGTTGTTTCAAGTAGTCTATCACTTCGTCTAGCATTGACGCTTTATCCGTCTGTTCGATTAAATATGAGAATATATATATATATATATATGTTGATATATTCAAGTATATCACCTTAACTTATATTCATGAACTAAATATATATATATATATATGCATATATATCTTACCTTACTTGCATTGGGTACCAGTTTTTGGAGAGTTTTCATCTTCTGATTAATCCTATCTCTTCGCCTCTACGAAAAAAAGGAAAAGAATATATATCGATATAATTAACAAAATATATATATATATATATATATATATTGCATGCATGATAACTGCATGCATCAGTTGTGACCGCTTGGAAAAATGTTCTTGACGATGATCTTTTTCGGTGGTTAAATATATAATGGTGTAAGTATATATTGAAAAATAAAAAAGATGAAATAATTTACCCTTTCAGACTCGTTGTGAGTAGCAGCTGCTCGAATATTTCGTCTTGAAAGAGAAGAACGTCCGGTCACCTCTCTGGTCTCCCGGTCTTCATCTTGGTTTCCCTATAAATTTATCAAAATTAAAATAAATAAATAAATAGTTACAATTGCTATATCTATACATGTATAATAAGACAAGTTGATTAGATTTTTGCTGAAGATAAAAAAAAAAAAAAATGGTATGGATTTTAAATAATTGATTTAATGAAATATTATATAATCCCCATAAAAATTAACATATAAAATATTAGTTTTTAAACAAACTGTAAATTAATATCACTGAAATTTAAATATAAAAATAAGTAATAATAAATTAAAAATTAATTAAATAAATAATAAAATAAAAGACATAAATATAGATTTTAACTACTGAATTCTTTTAAATAATTGATTCATTTATTTATAATTCAAGAACAGAATCTATTGTACTCATATATATATATATATATATAGCAGTCTATTAACAATGTATACAGGTATAGCTTGCAAGTTGCACCAAAAGGTACACCCACCCACCAAACATGAACCAAACTAAGATTCACTACCAAAATGCATTATCCTCCGCATAATTTAAGCAAGCAAGTGAACATTTCACAAAATTATAATATAAGTATATAAATATATATATATTCTCTACAATATAGTGTATATGATATTCTATGCCATCAATTCACAAACCAATCAATCAAATTTGCATGCAAATGAAAGATTAACAAATATTTTTTTCTTAAAAAAGTATTAAATAAAAGTATATGCTTTATATCAAACTAATTTGTCATTGTTATATAATACTAAGTGTTATTTTATATATATATATATATATATGTATATGTATATAAGAGTACGTACGGATCCATCATGACAAGCAGAATCATCATCAGTGACCTTCATCTTCAAGCTCCGAGGAGATTCATAAGAGGCCCAAGTCATCATGGTGGTATCATGATCATCTCTACCAAATGTACCACTGGCACTAGCACACTGCATTAATCTCCCATCATCTTCCTCAAAGTTTTTTCTCAGGCATGTTCCGGACTCCGATCGCGTCCTCTTCTTCGTCACCACCGGAACTTGGCCGGAGCTCTCTTCGTATCTTGCAGTACCGGAGGATGCAACCATGGAAGGGATGATGTTGGGCGGAGGAAGTTGGTGGTCATGAAATGCAGCCTGGTGGACTATGGACTCGAGGGTGCCGTTAGATCTAACCCATGTGGGCTTTGTCGGCGGAAGGAGCCCATGCATGGCTAGCTGCCCATTTTCCCATGTTAGCTCTGCAACTTCATAGTTTGACCTGAATTTCAACATGTTCCATTTTTATATTAGCCAATTCTTAATATTTTTTTAATTAAATAATCCTTACATTATAATAGTTAATACATAGAAAAGAATTATAATACAGTACAACACAACCTTTGAATAGAGATATATAAAAATACAGTCTAATTTAATTTTATATTTTTTTTTTATAAAAAATAAAAATTACTGACCATCTAAAAATACTTAGTAAATCTTAAAATTAAATAGGAATTGTACCAGCATTTTAGAAAAGATATAACTAATGATTAATTATGAGGAATATATGCGTTTTTTTTGTTGAATTAATCAAAATTAATCCCCTGATAACCACTATTAAAAAAAAATTAAAGTTGTAATTAGTGGAAAGAATGTTATAGGAGAACAGAAAATTTAGTTTGTAAGAAACAGTGAGGAAAAGAAAAGGAAAAAGATTAATGAATGGAATCTTCAAAGAAACAAAATCCCATTTTTTGTTGATCTTTGATGAGCTGTGAATACTGCAGAAGAACAAGACAGAGGGAAGTCAAACTTGAAAATGGAAGAACAATAGCAAGAAAATTCGAGTTTAATGTGTGGTAGATCTGTGAGCTTGAAATTAACAAGAAACCCTTTTGAGCATATAAAACAACAATAAAACCCAAAGATTTTCTATGTTATATAATATATATATATATGTATATAAAACAAGAATATATATATATATATATATATTGAAATGATGAAGAAGGAAATTAGTACATGGGTTGCAGGTGGCTGCGGTGGGAGTGCTGGTGAAGAGAAGTAGTAGTATTGTCTCTGCCGTCTTCGGCTTTGAGTGGTTGTTCCTGCTGCTTTACATTCCAATCCGGCACAACAAAATGATTACTCATGATTCTGTATTTTTCTTTAAAAATATTCAAACACATCCACTCCTGCAGCTTTGAGTTTTGGATTCTGTCCTCTTTTCCTTTTGTCTTTTCAATTCTCTTGCTCCTTTATTCTATATTATTACCATTGTTATTATTATTATCCAAGGAGATTTAATATACAACATGTGGTTGCTAGCTACTACCTTGTTGGGACACTATCCTCTTTGGCTTTTGGGTTGAGGCTATTTTTGTCACTTCAATCACGTTGATATAACATATGATGTTATGTTTTTGGCTGAAATAATGGTTTTGTCTATATATTATTAATTTTTTTTTAAATTAAATTTCTATCTGAATTTGTTATTCAAGTAATTTATATATTTTTTTAAAAAAAATTAATTTAATACTTTTTTTAAAATAATAAAAATTAATAATGTTAAATCGGGATGTTATGTGTTAATTTTATTAAAAATTAATATGTAAAACTTTTTTATTGATTTAAATGTCATAAATATTATGTTAAAATTCACGTGACATCTAATGTAATATAAAAAATAATTTATGTTGACCGCTTCAAACCAATTCAGTAATAAAAAAAAAAACCCTTCACATGGGCACCATATCGCATTGTTGCTCTATGTCAGCTTCAAGCTTTCTATTAAATAACGACGTTTTATGCCATCATATTGTGATCACCTCTATTAACAATAAATAAACCTTAATGGTAAGTTTTGACTCATTTCCTTGTTAATCCCACCCCAAGCTCCCTCCCACAGTTGTGTTTGTCCCAATTCACTTCTCCTTATCACTACCCCGATTCACTCTTCCTTGTCAACTACCTTGATTCGCTCCTCCCATAAACATCTCTCTTCTCTCTCTCATTCTCTTCATTTTCTTTTAAATTTAATTTCACTTTTTTT